AGACACAAAAAAAAAAAAAATTAAAAAATTAAAAAAAAAATAAACACATGGTAAAATTAATACCTTCTCAGCTTCGCATCGAAGCTAAAAAAAACACATCATAGTAAAATTAATACCTTCTCCGCTTCGCATCGAAGCTAAAAAATTTATATTAATAATCAAGTTTTATGAATTAAAATTTCACAATATTTATATTATTACAATAAATTGCTAACAATCATGGAATTTAAACTTTTATCAAGCGCACACATTTATCAATAGTACATGTTTATTGAATTTATACGTTCGTCAAACAGACGATTCAAAAATAGACCTCCAGATTAATAAATCAAAATGCAAGTGCCCCAGAGGAACACCTGGACAATGCTGGCAAGATATAGTAAATACAGATTTAAAATTATAGACGGAGTAACACATATTAGACTTTTATTAATCTTGACAAAAGGAGGTGCTTAATAAAAGCTGCTAAAGGTTTCTATGACTTGTAAAACTGAAAACAATTTTAAAAAAAAAGTTACAATTTTACCACTTAAATATATTTAATTTTTCCGTCTTAAATTAATTTAAAAATATGGTAGCATAGTTTCAGAAATGCGTATCCGAGATTTTTTAGTTATTTTTGTGGTTTTTGAGATAATATATTCTAGTTTTATATTATTTATATTAAATAATGTTTATTAATAGCTGTATATTTTTAACTTACCTTAAGCATTATTTCGCTAATTTCCGAATAAAAATAATATACACATTCCAAAAATCCTTCAAAGCGTTTTGACTTAATGATTAATTTTTTAAAACAATAAAATATAACATCTGATGTAATGACAGATTGTTTTAACAACTCTATTATGAAACTGCAATCATAATTAAATAATAAATGGAAAAGATAAAACAGTATAGTTTGAGCCCGGCATAATTTGAAATTTAAGAATTAAACTTGTTATAGTAATTCCTTTTGATGAAAGTGTAAATGAAAAACTCATAAATACTTTATATTGAAAAAAAATATTTCGGACCTTATTTTGTTTGCATGATGAAAACGGATATCAAAGTTATTAAAAAAATTCTTATTTCTATTTTTAACTTTATAATGCCATAACTTTTAGATTCGATGCGAAGCTGAGATGGTATTAATTTTAATATAATGTGTTTTTTTTTGTGTCTATTACCACTTTTTCTCAGCTTTCTCCGAACCAATTTTTTTCAACGATAAAAGATCACAAAACGTATGTAATCAAAGACTTTATCCTCAAAAATTGAAAAATTTTCTCTTGTTCCTCTAAAAATAGGTGAAATCTCCAAAAAAATTACAAATTTAAAAATCACTAATTTTCAAATTTTTTTTTACTTGAAACTGCTATAACTTTTTCAAAAAAACTCACAGCAGGGAGTCGTGGCACAATCGGGACGTAGCATAGTTGAGTCCAGTAAAGTTTTAATCTGACAATGATTAAAATCACTATCATAAGAAACACTTAGATGTAAATCTATAAATAGTGTTTAATTTTAAAAAATTGGTCGATTATTCCAAAAGCTACATGATCTGTTATTTTCTTATTAATATCCTGAATGAAAAAGGGATTATTAAAAAATATTATTTCTCATAAAAAAATTATATTGATCCATACACTTTTCAATAAGTTATATCATTATAAAGTTAAAAATGTAAAAAAAAGAAAATCGAGAATTTTCACACAATAATAGCATTCGGTAGCCATTTTCACCATGAAGATAAAATAAGGTCCGAAATTTTTTTTTTACATAATAAAGTTACCTTCCGGAACATTTTCAAAAGTTAAGTTGAAAAAGTTAATTTTTTGTAAAAAAGTTGTCACATCTTAGTAAAACCAATACCTTCTCAGCTTCGCATCGAAGCTAAAATTAGAAGTGATAGAAGAAATCTAATTGCACATTTGAAAACATCACGAAAAGTTGATTTAGAAAAGTATATTATTGTTTCTGATGAAAGTTCATTTTAGTCTAGTGTATTCATAAGTAACAAACATTTTTTATTCAAAAGTATTGCATCATGCCCTTTAAATTTAAAGTAAAGAAATATAGATCTACTTTATTATTTTTATAATATCTTCGTAAAAATTACAATATTAAATTATTGAATATCAATTTCATAGTAAATTTAATTATTATTATTATTAATATATTATATAATATTAATATAATATAATAAAATATTAATATATTCATATATTATAATTATAAATCAAATAACTAATCGGGATAAAATTAAGGGAATAAGAGTTATTGTTGCTTTTGAAATAATCTACTTTTTCTTAAAATTAAACACCATTTACAAATTTGAATTGAAGCGTTTCATATATGATTTTAATCACTGTTAGATATCATCTAGACTTGTCCCAACTATGCCACATCTATACTGTGCCGCGACCCCACTATGCTATCGTTTTTTTAACATTAAAAATCAAAATCTGTAATAGTTTTTTTAAAAACAAATTTTTTTGTTTTTAATTATTTTCTTATCGTAATAAATTTTTTTAATAGGAATATTAATCATTTCTATGTAACTCATGGTGTTTAAATATATAATAGAATTGAAATATTCAGAACTATTTTTCTTATAGTTATATCTTACAGTTTTTGACTAATTAGTAATAATATCAAAAATTAGGAATGATAAGTAAAAAATAGAGTTGCTGATTTGAAATTAGCATGAAAAATTAAATAAAAAACCCAGCACAGGGGGGTCGCGGCACAGTGGTGACGTGGCATAGTTGGATCAAGTATAATGATATCTTACAGTGATTAAAATCACTATAAAAAAAAAACGCTTCGATGCAAATCTTTAGATAGTGTTTAATTTTAAAAAATTGGTGGATTATTCCAAAAGCTTCATAAACTGCTAGTTCCTTATTAATATCCTGATTAAGACAAAGTATGTCGAATAAAAAAGAGATTATTAGAAAATAGTATTTCCCATAAAAAAATTATATTGATCAATACACTTTTCAATAAGTTATAGCATTATAATGTTAAAAATGTAAAAAATAAAATTGAGAATTTTCACACAATAATAGCATTTGGTAGCCATTTTCACCTTGAAGATAAAATAAAGTCCGAAATTTTTTTTTTCCATGATAAAGTATATTACATTAGCTTTAATTTAAGATATATATAAAAGTGTCAGACTTTCCGGAACACTTTCAAAATTTAAGTTGAAAAAGTCAATTTTTTGTGAAAAAGTTGTCATTTTGAATCCCCCCCTGTAGGCAGGTAAAAAGTCAGATTTATAAAAAAAATATACCAAATGATAGGTAAAGACATCATGCATCTACAAAAAAAAGAATTATATTGATCCATACATCTTTCGAGAAGTTATAGCATTATAAAGTTAAAAATATAAAAAAGAATTTTTTTACAAAAATCGTATTTTTTTTATTAAGTTTAATGTCTGTTTTCACCATGAAGATAAAATAAAGTCCGAAATTTTTTTTTACCATTATAAAGTATATTACATTAGCTTTAATTTAAGATATATATAAAAGTGTCAGACCTTCCGGAACACTTTCAAAAGTTACGTTGAAAAAGTTCTACTTTCTATATGCATTTTTGTGTTTTGAATCCCCCCTGTATTTAGGGAAATGGTCCGATTTAAAAAAACAGTATGTCGAATGAAAGATCTATATAAATACTACTTCTCATAAAAAAATTGTAATGATTCATACATTTTTCAAAAAGTTATAGCATAATAAAGTTAAAAATGGAAAATACAAAATCGAAAATTTTCACACAAAAATAGCATTCGGTAGCCATTTTCACCATGAAGATAAGATAAAGTCCGAAATTTTTTTTTTTCATGATAAAGCATATTACATTAGCTTTAATTTAAGATATATATAAAAGTGTCAGACCTTCCGGAACATTTTCAAAATTTAAGTTAAAAAAATTAATTTTTTGTGAAAAAGTTGTCATTTTAAATCCCCCCTTGTGGGCAGGTTAAGGGTTAAATTTATGAAAAAAATATACTAAATGAAAGGTAATGATATTATGCATCTATATAAAAAAGAATTATATTGATATGTTCATTTTTGAAAAAGTTATGGCACTTTTAAGTAAAAAAAATTGAAAAAATTTCGAAAATTAGCGATTTTTAAATTTGTAATTTTTTTGGAGGTTTCCCCTTTTTACGGGGAACGAGGGAATTTTTTTCAATTTTTAAGGGTAATTTCTTCGACTAGATACGATTTGTGATCTTTTGACGTATCATTGAAAGAAATCGGTTCGGTGAGAGCTGAGAAAAAGTGGTAACAGACACAAAAAAAAAAAACACATCTTAGTAAAACCAATACCTTCTCAACTTCGCATCGAAGCTAAAAGTATATTTTTGACTCTTATGAAAATTTTTTGTAGACCATTTATTCGTTATTAACAGCAAATTATTATCTAAAAAGTATTGTGTTATGCCCTTAAATTTTTATATATATTTGACATAAAAGTAATAACTACTTTATAATTTTTTTATAAACTCTCCGAAAAAAATTACAATACTAAATTATTAAATATCAATCTCATACTAATTTAATTGCTATGGTAAATATTTATTCATAAATATTACTTTTAAATAAAAAAAACTACTAAATAGGAATAATGAAGACAATAGAAGTATATTTTCTTTTGAATATTCCACCAACTTTTTAAAATCAAATACTATATACAGATTTGCATAGAAGCTTTTCTTATGATAGTGATTTTAATCACTCTCGGATATCATCTATATTTGTCCCAACTATCCCACGTCCATACTGTACCGCGACCCCACTGTACTACCATTTTAAAAATAGTTTTTGATTCATACGTCAATGAACGTGGTATTTTGTGCTGTAACTATTTTTAATCAAAAGTACCCGTAGGTTTTTTATTGGATATTCCTACCCAAGCATATAAAAAATATTAAAATATTCCGGAACGTTGAACAATTTTTAACCTCTAGCAAATAAAATCTTCTAAAGTGTATTACTAAAACAAGTTTAACTATAAAGTATTAAAAAATATTTTCCGAATTATGATACACCACAAAATACTTTGAGTCCAGTGCAGTGCTTTTTTTAAGATTATAAAGCATTATCAAGTTTCCCACTATGCAAAGATCGGGCTGTACTGTGCTTAATTTTTTATTTTTTATTAAAAATGAAATTAAAATCATTAGTATAGTGTAATAATGTTTAGACACTAAAAATTCAACATGATAGACTATAGGGCTTACCACAATATTTCTGTAATACAAATTGCAAAGCATAAATTATTATTTAAAAAAAAAAAATTACCTGCAGTTTGCTAATAAATGGTACTGATATTTATTAATAATATTATTTTCAATAGGCATTGTGTTTTCAGTTTTCTATAAATAACATAAAATATGCAAACTGAAACATTATTTTAAAAACTATATTATTTACTTTCAGAGTCTATATGAGGATAATGCGCCTTAGATCAACTAATTTCTTGTTTTTTTTTTATCTTAAAAAAATGTTGGCATTTCTTAATGTTATAGTAACTATTAGCACCCGGGTCGTATCATCCTCTTGGACTCTATATTATAATTACTCGGTTAATAATATCTTCAATCTGATAATCCACTACATCAAATACATCCAAAAATTCGCGAACGAGTACTTCATAAAATGATATAGACATAATAATTTGATGAGTAGATTCATTAAAGCCACATGGAACTTTGATATTTTTTAAATTTGAACATAACTGCGCATAAACAGGGCAATAATATGTATCTCTTAAAGCCTATATTAAAAAAATATTGAAATTTTAAAATACAACAAATTAGTATTTATCAATTTTAGCAATTAAATGTGAATTTTCATTATAGGTTTCATTCAATTTAATTACGTAGTTTTTGAACCTCATATCAAGACCTAATTATATAAATATTAAATTATTATGTGAAGTTGGTAAATAAGTTGTTTGTTGTCAATTCAACAGTTGCGATCATCGGATGCCATCAGATAATAGCTACTGAATTATATTAATTATATGAAATTATTAATTATGTAATTATGATTATCATTATGGTATTACCTTAATCCAAGTTTTTACGCAACATAAAAGGGTTATATTTTACCATAGATTAAAGAAATAAAATTATCATAAATATTTAAACCATTTTTTAGATTCGATGCGAAGCTGAGAAGGTATTGGTTTTACTAAGATGTGTTTTTTTTTTTTTTTTTTTTTTTTTTTTTTTTTTTTTTTTTTCCC